TTGCGTTTATGATTCACGCTGTCCTACATAGGTCAACGGCTGCTCGTCCAAACGTTTGAAAAGCGTATACACCTGAAATCGAAATCGCAGCAACCCTGGCTGACTTGTCTATTAATACACATCAGACTGTTGAGGAAGCTTGGATGGGGTTTTGGAATACACTAGATTGCACACTGCACCCCTCGTACTTTGGTCTACGCCTCGAAAACTATCGCATAAACCACCTTGGATTAGTAATGAAATAGGGAGGTTATTAAGAAAACGAGAGAAATTATAAGACCGATTTAGTAAGACTGGGAGGGCTAAGTTTCGGATAGAATACCGTAAAATTCGGAAGCTTTGTAAGTATAATATTGAAAAAAGTAGTATAGAGTATGAGGGACCGTTAGTACAGGATTGTGTGCATCATCCAAAAAGATTGTCATCATACATCAAACGCAGGAATAAAACCAGCAGTGGTATACCGTCCTGCACAAGCAATACTTGAGAGGCGACTAAGTCACATGAAACAAGGGCTGAAAAGCTATCCGAATAATTCTGCGATGTTTTTTCGCCTAATCGTACCATTCAGGGGTATAACGAGGTAACTAATGTAGCCACTGAAATGGCCACAGTTGTGGTTCTTAAACTATTGTCCAGGCTGAAGCTAGGTAAATCACCTGTACCTGATGGTTTAGCGACTACCCGATAGATAAAAAGCAGAATGCGAGGCCTAATGGTGTACTGTCAGGGTGGAAAGCAGTACTAAGTGGTGCACTTCAGGGAACTGTACTTGGCCCCCTGCTACTCCTATTATATGTAAATGAAGTGTCGAAAATTCTTAGCTCATCTTCCTTACTATTTGCGAACGAAATAAGGATACGGAAAGCTGCAAATAGTAATGGCGATAATTTGGTATTATAAAACGATCTAGATAAATTGGCTGAATGGGCTAACCACTGGAGTCTGCAAATTAATTCCAAGAAGAGCGCAGCAGTGCACCTCGGTCAGAGGTTTTACACGTCGTACTCCATGGGGGACACAGAACTGCCAGATGTTAAGGGACTTAGGAATTATTTTAAGCCATGAGTTATAAACTACGGCAAATTGTAATGGAGCCGCAGCTAAGGCTTTTCGAATGCTATGGGCACTCCGAAGGGCTTTCAAACGATTGGACGAGGGTATGTTCCAAGTACTCTTTGCAACATATGTCAGACCTAATCTAGAATACTGCATACAAACGTTGAGTCCATACTTCACAAAGGAGGCACATGTCCTGCAAAGAGCACATGGGATAGAAACCAAATAAACTTTATGATAAGAGGATCGAGCATTTAAATCTCCACCCATTATCATACTAAGGAGGAGGGATAACTTAATTTTCGCATAATGCATATTAAAGGGTGATTTAGGGATTGACCTTTCAAACCTTTCCTCTCCCTTCAGAATACATTCACGAGGTCACCACAAGAAGGTGCTAAAACCGGGGTAGAATGAAATACGTGTGGAATTTAGATTCTTTCACAGAGTGGTCAACGAACTCCTTACATGATTCAGTAGTAACAGCTCCATCGGTGAACGCCTTAAAAAAGGAAAGTATATTTCTGCATAGATATAAATCGCAAGGATTTATATGGGCAACAAGAAACTTTTATCCTTTCAATAGGAATCTGAATTCACCATAGCTATAGATATCAACTCTGAGACTCGCTGCACTGGAATATTTTGAAGTTCTGGAATTGTTCAAAAACGTCGTTAAGTTATCAGTAATAAATTAATAAATACACACAACCTCGTCACAATCACTCTGGATATTCAAACAGTCTGAAACTCGGATATTGGATATTGAAATTTGTCTGAGAGTTTAAGGTGTACGCTACATTTTTTAGTAATTACGGTAATTCTTTACTTAAAAATCTAGTCAGTTTATTGGATGTCCTCCCCTTATTTAAAAGTCGATGATAAAGTTTATTTATATGAAACCAGTTAAAATACATATTTTCAATCAGTATTTATTGCTTATCTTCCACAATGTTCACAATAGACCTCAGCCGTTTTAAATAAAAGAAGGCTGTGGTATTCTGTGTTAATCTCCACAACATATAGCAGCTATAAATATGCACAAATCTACGTCATTTCCAGTAGTCTTATCCTAACATGAATTTTTTCCTTATTTTTTTGTTGATCGGTAAACTAAACGTTGTGTAATCCTAATATGTATGGTTGGCGGTTGGGTTTATCATACATTTTCTCGGTAATTCATAATTTTTCGATATATGCAGCTCTATGGCCTTCAAATGGTGCATACTGAGCTACGTTTACGTGATGTATATTTTTCAAATGTAGGTTTATTCTATTGCTATGGTTATCCACTTCTGTCATGTCTTAAAAATACTGTATGAAGCAGCATATCAGAACCTCAAAGTCTTATCAATCAGGAAAAATAAAGTAAAGTGTTCAGTTTATTTCTGACCGCTGGCTTTGTACAGCTGTTTGATAAAATTTTGAGATGTATAGCTTTGAAGGGAGATAAATCCATAGGTATCAGTTTTCAGTTTTTATAGTTTGATATATTTTCAACGAAGCCGTTCAATACATATGTCTAGCCACTTTCACTTACCTGGCTTTTGAAACAACTTTTAATTTGAGGTTATCCAGGAAAGCTGTTTTTTTATTGTCGTTGTTGCTACGTAAAAAGTACTTCAACGTGAAATATAATATTTGTAGGAGCTTTTATAATCAGTGCATAAAAAAACAATCTCGTGCAAAAACATCTCCGTCTAGTGCCTTATTGTATAACTTCATTTTTCAAAAGTTGTTATGAGATAAGATACTGACTATCAATATAAAACCTAGCACAGATATGCATCAGTCCAAGTTTTTTTTTATTCCTTCACGTCCTCAGTGGAACATAAGGCTTCAAGCTAGAGTCTTGAAGTTTCTGTGACAGTGTTTATTTTTACAGGATGGGGTTGCTAGCCTCATGCCCAACCTTTCCTCTTCACCAGCTTTAGTTCTGCCTTAGCGAGGTAAAGGAGTGCGCCGGCCGTGAATCGAACCCCGGACCATGTGCATGGTCGGCGAGCGTCCTAACCGCTATGCCACCAACGCATCAGTTCAAGTTACCACACTCTAAATATCACGAAAAGGTAGAGAAAAGGGAGATTAAAGGGATTTAGAGGACTACAGTAAGCAGAAATGTGAGAGAGAAAAAAGTTGTACCTTGGAAAAATAATAGGGTTTAATGAATTCTGGAGATCACAAATAGTGAAGGCATCTGCGCTATCATTGAGAACGACTTTGAGTCATAACACCGTAAACATAACAGCCACTGGTTCTTACGATTATTGACCATTTCAACCAATCAGTCTACGCCTACCTATGTGGAACAAATTGATTGTCGAAGACTTCGTGGACTGATATCAAGTTTTGTTTTGACCACCTCTAACTATTTTCCAACTCAAACGTGTTTTAGTTAGTACTGCTCGTCGCACACAACACGTTCTGGCCATCTCAATCGACTAACCTTCACAACCTTTTTGACTAATTTTCCTTCCTCACCCAACACTCTACGCCTAACTTCAATATTACTCACCATATAACCGCACTTAACACGGAAAGTAGGACGCAACATCTGTGGTCATAGAAAGCTTGTCTTTTTATATCTTTCACTTTCAACGGCTATACCTCACAGCCATGAAGAAAAGCAGAGCGAACTGGTGCGCAGTAGACGCATCCTTTGACTGACAGCCGGATATCCTATATAAGCCAGATATGACGTAAGCCTGCAAATAGTACAGTAGCCTTTTGTATATGTGCTAGGATTTCGTCATCAATCAGTCCATTAAAACTAATGTAATTTTCCAAATGAGTGAAATGATTAACATGTTCACCCAATTCAACCCCTGTCTTTAAGCCAGGAGTCGATGCAGTCCAGTCCTGCATCATCGTCGTACATCTAACAGGGACGAATTTCTTACCGAGCATTTGAAGATTTTTGCTCAAAATGTTCAGATGACGGCATTTTACCAGTGTCTTCACCTTTGACGACAGTATTGTCCTCATATCTTGAGTCAACAAGACTTTTTTCTGGTGATAATTGGATCTCTAAGTTCTTGCATTCATTTAGGGTTCATGCCACTAAATTTTTAAAAAATGGGGAAAGTAGCCATCTTTGACGAACACCACTGGTTGTCCTGACTTTAGGTGATAACTCTTCGTAAGCCACCATAACTTGATCTATGTAATTCTGTTTGTATGACACTTAAGGAACAAACAAATATAGAGTTATACTCTACCACAGTGCTGAGTTTCTTCTAATATAGTAATTGCTTCCTAATAACATGTAAATGAATGGTATGCACTGAATGTGCTGTTTTCGCGCTATCTTGATACCTGAAATACTTTTTATAATAATGCTTACTACCAGCCGCACATAGAGCTTTAGGCTATCGGTTAATGTACTTAACTTTGAATTAGTAATTCTCGAATTCTACCTACGAGACTTTTGGTCGAGTAGCATGACTTGTCCACACATCCTAAGTGCAGTTCATTACCTATTGTATGAATACATCCTGAATTACTAAATGGTTCTTTTTTCGTTATGAATAAATCAGGGTTCTTCAGGTATTGGAAATCTTGTTTCCGTTAGTGATTGAAGAGACCAGTCTGGCCAGCAACTACACCATGTGACTATCATAAGCTCACATTATACCCATTCCACCGTTGACGAAAATACCAAACCATAAATTTGACCGATAATCTCATATCTATTCGGTATGCTGAACAGCATTCCTTTGTAAAGCTGTATTATCACCTATAGGATTTCTGATAACTGTGCTAATAAGTATATTTGCTGCTGGCATGATCTTTGAAGTCACTTAATTTTTTATATTACTGGAGAAATAAGATGAATGGTTGTAAACCCACGTATTTTTAAATTATAGGCAACACTGGATACCTCGAAATATGGATTTTACCAAAAATATTAGAATATTGCCTCTTGAATACTCGCAAAAATCATGAATTACAGTGCTGACACTTCAGCAGAATGTCAGGCTTTGTCGCCGAATCCAAAGAAAATCACTTCTACAACTCTATCTTTCCATAATATTTCATACAGTGTAAAAAGTCAGACATTCCCATGGAGCTGCCCAACCCATCTGAAAGTTATTTCAGATCTCAGGTAAGATGTTTCTCTTTTTTTTGCACCCTATAAATACTTGTGTATGCAACTCTATTACATATAGTGCTGTTTTAACCTATAATGGGAACTAATTCTCAAGAATTTACTTATGACATGTTATTGGAGATCGTTAAATAAACTTCACAAATGGACTGGTTTTCATAAATTTTGTATTATTATTATTGTTTCCTTTAGTTGCTAGAGGAACATAGGGCTTCAGCCTCACGTCTCCATTGCGTTTGCCTCTCTGCCAACGTTTTCAGCCGGCGCCACGTCTGCCCACATGACCTCCTCTATGTCACCCTAGCACTGATGACCAACTCGCCGCTTCCCGTTCGGGTTCCACTCGAGGGCCTGTAGTGTGATATCACTCACTTGACGGTTTTCTCAAAGTATGGCCAATCCACCTCCATTTCTTCCTGCATATTTGTTTCACAATCGGTTCCTGGTTGGTTCGCTTTCAGAGATCCCTGTTGCTGATCTTTTCTGGCCGATCATCGGATCTTGAGTATTGAGCGACGACAGCTGTTGATGAAGGTGTGTAGTTTGTTCCAAGTGCTGTTCATGAAGCGCCAAGTTTCTGATCCATTTATTAAGTAGCACTGACTTCACATTGGAGTTGAAAATCCGGATCTTATTTTTCATGCTGAGTGCTGTTAACCTCCACACAGACTTGAGATTAATGAAAGCTTGTCTTGCTTTCCCGATCCTTGCTTTGATATCCTCGTCAGTTCCGCCTGTAGTCGAAATGATGCTTCCCAGGTAGGTAAATGAGGTTGCTTCTTTCAGATTTCTCCTATTTATGCTGATTGTTGTCTGTTGTTGTTGTTGCTATTGCTGTTGGCCAGGAATCTTCATCACGACTTCTGTTTTCTCTATGTTCACCTGAAGTCCTATCTTCTCTGGATGTTTCTTCCGCCAACTTGTTGCTTTTCACTTGCATATCTTCCAGTTTGTGGGCAATCAGACATATATCATCAGCGAAGTTCAGATCCTCCAAGTTTTTGTGTGGGTCCATTTTATGCCTGTTTCTTCGCTGCCCGCTGTCTGTCGCATTATCCAGTCTACCGCAATCAGGAAAATCATTGGAGATAGTAGGCAGCCAGCTTGTCTTACTCCCGTCTTCAATAAATTTTGTGTACTTTCTTACAACTGCAACTGTCAGTAACATTTCTAACGTGTCGATGATATATCAAAAGATTTAGCTTTATTACAATAAATGGTCGTAGGTATTCACTGTAGTATATATTCACTCTTTGAAATTCATATCATTTGCGTAGATTTACGTGCTAAATAGCAGGATAGGTTTCCCATACTTAATTAGAAGGATAGATCCTTGTGCGTTTGCGGTCAAATCTTAACAATAGTAGGGACATTTACATATTTCAGATTCTAGTTATGTTATCGCATGACCTATAGCAGGTAACGTTTTCCAGTGGTTCTCGAATTGTTTAAAATATGAAAATGTTGTTGATTTGTAACGTAATTGTTTTCACCACTAACCCTCATTATTATTATTATTATTATTCCCTTGGGTTCCGAGTGGAACTCAGGCCTTCAACAGCACATATCCATTTTGTCCTGTTCTCTACAGTCCTCTTCAGCTGTCCCTGTAAGCTTTCACTTCCCTCATGTCAACCTCGGACACACGCACAACTCTTTTCCCACTCTATGGTTCCACTCGAGCGATGGTCTAGCGTATGATATGACCCAACAGTCTCCTCACTGTGCGTCCGATCCACCTCTGTTTCCTCCCGAAATATTTATTAAGTAATACTGTCTTGATTAGTTTATTCACAGAGTTCCTTTTGGTTAATTCTTTCTGGTCAGTTGGCCATCTGATCTTCGGTATGGAGCCAACGAAGTGGGTAGCTGTTGATAAAAGTCTGAACTCAGCTGTTGGAAGTACTTCATGACGCGAGTGAGAAGTTTTTGACTCACACAGAAGAACTGACTGACTTGACATTGGTGTTGAAAATTTGAATTTTATTGTTTATGCTGACTGAGTGTGGTAGATCTCCAAACTGATTTCAGTATGATGAAGGCCTCCGTTGCCTTTTGGATTCTGGCTGGTTTTGACATCCTCACCCTTGCTGTCACCAACGGTTAAAAGGATGGTGTCTAGGTAATTGTGATTACTTATGTGTTATTCATTAGAACACAAATTTAGTTCAATGTATGGGCGCCAAGAGGTACGATAAGCAAATGCAGTAAAACACAATAGAGGGAAAAGAAACAGGATACTTTGGTGGGTGGGGGGCAGTCGAACTATCATGACAAGTGACAGTATACTTGTCAACAGCATTCATAGGGCTATTCATTATTTAGTTTGCCTTTCAAAATAACTGGAGAGAAGAAAATTGTAGCGCTTTCCTCATCGACCCTATTCACTAATCTTGAAACAGCCTGTAGATAACTGACATTGGAATTGCATTAATTAAGCTCTGATTTTTGCAGGCATCCTTATGATGGAAAGATTTTTCTCCCAGAAATCAGTTCTCCGCTTACTGTCTATTCTGCTATGAAAGGGGAAGAAATGTATCACAATAAAATCATTCATAACAGATTTTCCCACCTCATATTTAAGTGGTAATAAAATAGCTTATAAATTTGTGTCTGTCTACAGGTCATTTAGGAGAGTAAATTACTAGTTATTATGCGTATGTTAACGTGAAAATATGTAAAATCTCACTTCTCTAGCATTTTAGAAGGACTTCTGCCTCCTAGAATATGTTTATAAATTGGAGCAAATTATTACAAACGATGTTAACTTCTCCAAGTTCGATCATGGATTGCTATCAGGTAAAGAATCACTGATAAAACCAAGGAGTACTAGACATCTGTCTCATCCTAGTGCGGGAATCTTCATCAGCACACACCCACGACCCAACCACCAGGGATCGAACCCGGGACCTTAAAGTTATGAGGCCAAGCTCGTTGACCATTCAGTCACTTGGACGGGAATACAGTGATCCGTGAATCTTAACTTCTATGGATTCGCTGTTTTAACGCGACCGCCGCGAGCATTGTCATCGGTGAGTATTTGTCCTCACACCCGACTTGGTAAACCGCATTGGTCACAACTTCCCACTAGAGAACCCCAGGTGATTTTTCCAAGTAGCCAGTCACCAGTGAGCATCAGATTAATTTTCAGGAATTCGCTAATTTCGTAGATCATATTTAAGTATTTATTATATGAGATTTTTAAAGAAAAGACTGTAATACCAATTGTTTTGTTTAACTGTACATTTAGTGGTTATATGCCTCCAGGGATGAATGCTATAATCGGACCAACAGGATGTGGAAAGTCCACGTAAGTTGTTGTCGTAGTATATTGAAATTTCGCTTCATGATGGTGTAAATGAAAACGTTATTTCTTTTGAAGTAAGCTGTAATATCTTTCAGCGTTGGTGATTCACTGGTAGGACGTTCGCTAACCACTCACGTGGTCCGGAGTCCGATTCCTAGCCGACGCAATCCTAAACCTTGCTAAGCTGGCAGTAAGGCCGGTAAAGAGGGAAGACTGAACGTGAGGCTAGCAACCCCACTCCTTAAAAATAAAACCACTGCTACCGAAACTTTAAAGCCCCAACTTGAAGCCCTATGTTCCCCTTAAAAAGTAGCATCTTAACCGCAAATCACGAAGTCAAATTGTTTTCTATCTGCTTAAGTCTGCTTAGTATCACACAGCTTCCTTAACAGTTCCAATTGTTAGATTTCTTCAGTGAGATCAGACTGTTGAAAACCATCTGGGAGCACTGGATTCTGGCTTATGTAGACGTGTGGAGGTTCAGAGTTCGATCCCTAGTGGGGTCGTGGTTGCGCACTGATGAAGAGTTCAAAAATAGGACGAAACAGCTGTCCAGTGCTCCCTAGTTTCCAATGATCTCTCTGACTGATGTTGGTTCGTGACGAAATCTAACAATTGAAATTAATCCAAATCCCTAAGAGTCCCATAATCTAAGGATATTTACTCTTTAGACCAGGAAGAGAGTGTATTGATCATATCATCAACCTTCCACAGACTCTCAAACAACATAGGCACATATACCGGCATCCAACAAATGCCATATTTCTTGACCTTAAGATGCAATTCGATAGAGAGACACTAAGGCAATATTTGTCCATGAAGGGAGTACCGAGAAAGTACATCGTACTAATCAAAACACTTCTCGAACTCACGCAGCCGTATGATAGCTTGCGGAGAGTTGTCATCTTGGGTGATAACCACCATTGGTGTCCGTCATGAATGTCCACTGTCGCCATTTCTGTTTAACTTTATCATAGATGTACTAATGGAATTGACCGTAACTGACCTAAGCGACTTAAGGATTGACTTGTTACCAGGGAATAATCTTATTGACTTAGAATGTACAGATCATATAGTCCTCCTAGATGAAGACGCTGACAAAATTCAGAGTCTTCTGAACATCTTGAGGAGCAATCTTGGAATGTTTGGCATGCGACTTGCTCCTGTCAAATGTAAGATGATGCTACAAGACTAGGCTACATTGATTCACTCCTATCTTGAAGATAGGCAGGAGTGAATTGGTAGGGCGTGTTGGCCACTTCACTTGTTTGGGGAGTTGCATCAGCCAGTTTCAGCGGGTTGATCGCTGACGAAATCTCAGTACGGATACAAAAGGTTCGTTTGTCATTTGCCAGCCAACTTATGCCATTTCTGGTGTAGATGTGATATCTGACTGGCTATCGACAAACGGATGTGTGTACTGCGCTCCATTTCGCTGCGTCTTCCTTAATGGCTGTGAGACACGGCTATGGAAAGTAAAATACATGAAAAGGTTAGTTGTCTTTGATCATAGGTGCCATCTCCTTTGTTAGGTGGTATAATAAGGTGAGCAATGTCGAGGTTAGGCTTCAGTCGAGTGCTAGGTTTGGAGGGTTGTGAAGCATCTTTATCAATTAAGATGGTTAGGACATGTGTTACGCGTGCCTAGACATCATTCGCCCTCCTCGGCGGGCAATGTTAACTGACACAGGATCGGTGAGGCTGGAAAAGAGCTAGTGGTGGTCAAACGAAAACATGAAATCAGTCCAAGAAATATTTGACGGTTGGTTTGGGCCAGACGCTAACGGAGGTGTAGACTGACTGTTCAGGATCCTTAGGATTCTGGGAATCAGTGTCTAGAGACAAATAGTGATATGGCTCGAAATCGTTGTCAATGGCGCAGATGCATTCACTCTTTGCGATCTACTATATTCATTAAACTATCATTTTTTTCTTTGTTACTACTCTTTTTCCCTCACATTTCTGCCTATTATCTTTCTTCTTTCCTCTCTTTTGTGCTCCTTTGTGTACTAAATGGTGTGACGTCTCGAACTTCAGCGAAACACTTCGATTTCCCTGACGTTATGTTTAGACACTGTGACTCTACTTTAAGATTGTAAATTTCTATACTGATTAGTAACAAAAGTAACGTTTTGTGGTTAGAGTGATTAAAAAATCTCCAGTTCAAATATCTTAAACAAAAAGAAGTAATAAATTAGGTTATAGTAGGTGTGTAAAGAGTGAGTAGGTGGTTCAGGCGTGGAATGCTCGTCAAATACGGAATTCGATTCCTGGCCAGCGTATTCCTAAATCTCGCCAATCCCATAGGAAGCCCTGTGAAGAGGGAAGGTTAGGCGTGAGGCTAGCAACCCTACTCCGTAAAAGTAAACACCTGCTGCTACTGGAACGTTGAGATGGAAAGCCTGAGGTGCTATGTTCCGCTTGGAATGAAAAGGGATATATATATATATATGTATATATATATGGTGAATGGCTGAGAATAGATAAGTAATCGTCTGATAATAAGTAATAAATTAGGAAGCTATCAGGAGTGAACTTCACCAAGAAGAACAAACAGAAACTCTCTATCTCTCTTTCACTTTTATTTATTTTGATTGGTTGGAGGATTTCATCATAAGCTGACATTAGTTAGAGAACCATTGGAAAACCAACTGGGAGTACTGCACAGCTGTTTCGTCCTAGTTTGGGATTCTTCATCAGTACGCACCCCTCGACAGGGTTCGAACCCCTGGACCTTCTGGTTACAAGGCGAGCTAGCTCGTAGACCATTAAGCCACTGGGACCCGATCCAATGGCCAGTCATCCCATTAATCCTAACTTCTGTCAATTCATGACATAGCGCGACCATTTTGCAATGTCTTCTTCGATGAGTTACTGCCTCACCTTCAACGTGCTGTAAAAATATGATAACACTGACATCTGAATTCCCCTACCAATTAATCGCATAAGACTTCATTACATATGTAAACGTACATGTAGTTCTTGTGTTTATTCTTTCTGGTGTTAAAGTTAATCAACGTCTGTACAGTAGTATCGCTTAATTTGAAGTAATAAAATTCTGTTATTTGTTTGTTTTTCGTTATAAAGCCTATTAGATGTACTAGCTGGACGTAAAAATCCTTTAAAAATTAGTGGATACATATTGCTGAATGGTCAATTCTTACCTAGTAATGTTCGACGCCGTCTTTGTGGATATGTTGTTCAGGTAAATTGTTACTTTGTTCATTTAAAAAATAATATCTATACCTATATGTATATGAATATAATTTTTATCTGCGGTTGTGAAGTTGTTTTTTTAATAATAATAATAATAATAATTTGCTTTATTCCAGAAACAGTACTAGTGGTACAGTGTGGAATTTTCAGCACATATCTACAATATTTGCATCTAATTTTATCCAACGTTTAAAAGGAGTATTTCAAAAAAATAAATATAAAGACAACAACAGCAAAAAAACACAAAAATAATTTTAAAAAATGCGAAAAAATACTAAGAAGTAGAAAGGAAAATAAACAACATAATAAATAATATCTCAGTATTGGGTAGTGGAAGCTATGATATGATTATGCATGGTGACAGTAAAGCTATAGTCACACAAGAAGTTATGAAATGATATTTAAGAATGTTTATCACCAAGATGATCAGTTAATTTGGTTGAAACAACTCTAAACAATCATAAAATAACATTTCAGGGTTGTTGTTTTGTTTTTTATTGTCAGGTCTAATGCAGTGTTTGTAGTGGTAGTGTGAGTAATCCTGAATAATACAAAATTTTAAGGTGGTGACAATGGCGTTCACAACCAATGATTGTCAGTTAATATTGCCGAAAAAAAAATAAAAATAAGAAAAAACAACCACAAAACTAATAATTACATGATGGTTAATGACAGGACAATTTTGTACTACTCATAGTGCTAATATAGTCGGAACCAGTAGATACACAAAAGAAGGAATACAGTAAAGTACAAAAAAGTAAGCCAATGTTAATAATTTAGGTAGCTAAGCATGTTTAAGAAGGAGTTCACTATAGAATACAAAATAAGAGAGAAATAAAAGAGCCTAAAATTATGTTATTAACAACAAAGCAAGCCATAGGTTTCGCGCTGAACATTGTCTCTGTCACTTAGAACACGGGCCAAGTATGGTATCGTTGAGTTCCTGTACTTGGTTGTACGAGCATAGATTATTTTATACTGATTTCTGGTTCTACTTGATGAGATACAAGGCGAGAGTTGAGAATAGCCAGAAAGGATGTTTCGTGTACCAGACAGGTCAAGAGCTACACTTACCGTGTATGAGGGCTGATGGTTACTACTCAGTTGTCCAGGCTGAAGTAGACGGAGTGGGATTCGAACCCAGGACTCAATGGATGTAAACCGAGTACTGAAGTCAGTGAGCTACCTCTTTTGTGGTTGAAAAATAAACTCTCTAAGTTTAGTGTGCATAATTAAAATGATGTAGACTAAAAAAAAATTAGCTAGTCCAGTAGCTTGATTATAGGATTTGTGGGAATCTTGGATGAATTTCAATTGTTGGATTTTCATCAGGAGCTAACAACATTACCAGCTCACTGATGGCTAGTGCTGAATAGATTTCCTGAAACTGTAGTGGGAAGCCTCCAAAGCCTCAGGATGGTCGGGGGTGGGTGCCTTGCGCTGCGGGTTGGCCACCCCTCCGCACACCTCTTGAAATGCTCCCATATGACCGGGCGTCTTACATAGCCTCTCCTGAGGAAGTCCTACTCACTGCCTTCACGTGGCGGAGGTGTTTTTCACCAAAGTGAGAGGGCGAAAGCGGATGCCCGGCGCTCTTCACCGGGTTGACTGTCCATTGGATGACAGTCTAGGGGAGATGGCTAAACCCTGATTCCAAACCTCCAACGACTGGCGTATGAAGCTGACTGGAACTCACCGGCAGAAGTATGGACAAAGGGCTTGTTGGATGTCCTGGATGTCTGGCCCCATTCAAAAAGGTGTATGAACCGAACTCTGGTCACCGGCTGCCAATGGATAGTGGACTCCCTACTCCACTCCTACTGCTTTGTAGGTCACACTTGGTTGAGTAAAGGCTGGAGCTGCACTCTCAAACAAAAGGCCGAGCGATTCTGGGGACATCACTCGTACCAAATTCCCATGAAACTTCATGAACTCTCCGAATCGGATAACCCTGTCGCAAAACCTTGCATCAGATCGCCGCGTCTGGGCAGCGATGATTCGAGATGTTCATAAAGCCGGCTCATCCTCCCGTAGGAGATAGCCGAAGTAAAGTTAAAAAAAGTGGGAAGTCATGGCCATCGGGGTCCACCATGTCTAGGTGAAGTGAATGCTCATCAAAGGGGTTCAGCTATATCGCGAGTTAAAATTCACGGGTCATTGGATTCCCTGCAAAGTGGCTGGACGGTCAACGAGCTTGGTCTCGTAGGCTGAAGGTTACAGATCCGATCCCCGGTGGATGGAGGGGTCATGGGTGCGCACTGATAAAAAGTCCTAAAATTGGACGAAGCATCTGTCGAGTGCTCCCAGCTGGTTTTCAATTATCTCTCTCTCTAACTGATGTGTTGATGCATGACGAAATTCTAACAATTGAAATTATTCCAGTAGTTCTTTGATTTACTACTTAATTCATCGACCATATCTTCCGCTTCGGTTATTGAATCAACCAACTGTAAATCTTTGCACTAATAAAGAACATCTGAGATAATCTATCCAACAAGCTTCAAACGCAATGAGATATACGTTTCTCACTTTATCCCTAATTACTGTCACATAAGTAAGCTCAGCACCATACATGAGGTAATATTGATGCGTTGACTCATGGCGCTTGTCATGCCAGCAAGCGACCGCTGTGATTCAGTTCAAATAAGCAATAAACTAAGAAGGCGTCATCATCCCAAATAGGACGAAATGCGCATCCTAGTGGATTCCACTGCTAGTCACCATCCACCAATTAAAATAAAATGCTCAGTTATTGATATTTTCTATGACACTTGATATACATTTTCCAGTATGCTAGGTTACTCAAAAACTTCGGAGTCGAAGTAAACTACTGGTGTAACAACAGAAGATAAGGGCCAGGCAACAGATCGTTTATTAAGGAAATCAACACATATTTATAGCTTTTCATGTACATTATTAGCATGTATATTGTTAGCAGAAAAACGCAGTCTTCTGATTGGTTGTTTCACACTGAAAGTTAACATTTCATCTCTTTGTGGCTGTTTCTTGAATGTCAGATCATCTATCTGCAAATTGTATCCGCCTACGCAAAATATGGTGTGGTTGGTTGTTGAATCAGTCTTTGTTCATATTTTTCTCACAACCAATATTGAGCACGTAAACATTGACGTAAATTACCATATACCAATTTGGCTAGTAGCCAGCTCTCACCACACTAGTAGTGTCTAAAGCAAGATTACAGATACCGTTGCAGGTGTACAGTTTCAATTACGATAAATCGGTTGTTCAATACCCCATAAGATACAAGAGAACTTTTCGATTATATATACTTTCACAAATGATCTAGTTTCTCCTGGTTAATGGTTAAGCTCTCACACCGTTAATTTTGTCATGTGACCTAAATAAATAATTAAAAGAAATAAGTAGGTTTATTCTGAACGAAATGTTTGCACAACATTATATGGTTGGAGGCAATCGGCCACAGGAAGCCTTGGACCTAGGTTTCGTGCTAGTTGGCACTCACCAGCAAGCCGTATCTGCAACGTTGAAGGAACTCATGTCTCTTCTGAGATTCCAACCCGCATCACCTAGTGCTGCAGTCAGAGACGTTACCACTGAGCTGTCTCAGAAGAGACATGAGTTCCTTCAAGGTTGCAGATATGCCTTGCTGACGAGTGCCAACTAGCACGAAACCTAGGTCCAAGGCTTCCTGTGGCCGATTGCCTCCAACCATCTAATATCATCAAATCAATGTGCACCGTGATGGCGAACTACCTAGAATGGTGGGCACATTGCAAACATGACTGATAAAACTCACTCTGCACCAAAGAAAGGACTAGACATATCACACTAGTTAGTAACTAGTGTCCAATCAAAATGTTTACACAATGTACAGAATTCTCAGTGTAATTTATCGCCTAATATTTTCTCCTTATCTAAAATCTTCAAGTGAAATCTCAGTCTGTGATATTTCACGTGATGCAGTGTTGTTAGATCTGAAGTCTAGACTAACCAACCTCTTATGATATAATTTTCCTTCGTCCCTGTGATGATATGCTCACCGATAATTTGTCAAAGCCAACTGACTTTATTTTATTATTTACTTTATTTCTTTGCGTTCCAATGTGGAACATAAGGCTTCATTGGATTTTGTGCTTCTGTATAGCGAAATTTTGTACACATCTTCAACTCACCATTCGCACTAATCTTCGTGTTGGTTGTTCTACTTCTGGCCTTCCTTCTCATTGTGTTTCTTTGTGCTCCTTTCACGTCTCCCATGTATATTTCCGCAACGCTGTACCATTTGCTTTCTCTGACATCAAATCTATCTCCCTGCTATAAGATGTTTTTATGCCGACGACCGTTTCTTCATATACTACTGATAAATCTTATCAGTAGCACATGCCACAACAGCAGTGGTGTTTAGTTTTTACATGGTGGTGGTGGGGTCGCTAGCCTCACTTGCTCCCAACCTTCCTTCTTTTTACTGAACATTTTATCAGCTATACGAGATTCAGGAATGCGTCGGCTTGGGGTTGAACCAGCTGGACCAGACCACTTGCGATTATTCTACCGCTGGAACAGCCACCCACGCTTATAACTGACTTAAGTGCTAATTATAGTTTGCAACAGGCGTTTGACATAGTCATCTAACTGTGTAAAAGGCCACTTCAAGATACTTGTAAAATAAATACGTTGCATTAGTGAAGGCGACTTTTATTTATCTGAAAGTATTGCTGAGAAACTCAAGTGAAAGCTGTTTTCAGCACAACCATTCAGTTTAAAACAAATTTATGTCAAACGTAATTTTTAAAAGAATATTTCCATCGTTTACGAAGATTCTAGGAACAACCTGAAGTGTGTAATGCTTGTAGAACCGTCTTGGTATAACTGATACTATCTACAAAATGGGATAAAAAAAGCAGTTGTATCTTCCTAATAATCCATGTGGAAAACTTTATTTCTGTTACATGCCCCATAACAGTCGGTTACACGAATTCAGCCCTAGTGCTTGAATTTTCCTTTAGTGTACACTTATCACCAGGCCTTGAAATGAATTAGGCTATCTTGAGTGTCAACATTTATCTGTTGACTTCCTGAGTATACCGTCCTAGAAGCAATTACTTCACCTAATGTAATTTTGAAAATGCTTTGTGCGATATCCGGCTGTCGACCAAAGGATGCGTACACGGCTCAGCATTTCGCTCCGTCCTCTTTTATGACTACAATACATGACCATCGAAAATGGTTGATATGAAAAGGTTAACCTTTTTTGATCATGTATGTGTCTGCGTTCTGTTTCCCGTATTAGTTGGTATAATAGGGTGAGTATTATTGAGGTTAGGCGTTGAATGTTAGGTAAGGAGGGAAAGTCTATCGTCTAGGTTTTGACGCTGCATTAATTGAGAGGGTGAGGAAATATTTTACGCACGTCTGCTTAGCCATCACCCTCCTCGACGGGCAATGTTTGCTAACATAGGATTGATCAGGTTGGAAAATAGCTAGTGGTAGTCAAACCAAAACTTGGCATCAGTTGACGAAATCAGTAACAGTTAGTTTGAACCAGCCATGTAGGGAGGTGTAAACTTCCTGAGTGGTTCGGGTCCTCGGGATGGTGAGTAACAATGAAGGCTGGAGATAATCGGTGGCATCGCCCAGAATCGTTCTCAATGGATGGCGCAGATGTATTCACTCTTTATGATTTATCCGTATTACTTCCTTCACATGTGTTTATTATTTGTCGTTTTAACCTCTCTCTACTTTCTTCTCTTGCTTTGCGTGCTAAATGGAGTGTGGCAAGTCGAACTGCTGCACTTCTGTGCGAAGTTCTACGTTGAAACCGGTCAGTCAATCGATGTTATTTTATATTTTTTGATTATAAAGATCAGTTTATTCTTAGATGTGTATCTCTTTGCAACGTAGAATTTTAAAAAAAAATCTTTTGTAGGAAAATATAGCTATGGATACACTCACTGTTCGAGAGAATATCACATTTTCTGCTTCCTTGAGATCGCCTCGTTGTACCACTTCACGACAGCGGGAAGCTAAAGTGTCAAGTGTCATTGAAGAGCTTGGCCTAACTTCTGTTGCTGATCGTATTGTAAGTTGTAATGTCAGTGAAAAAAAACTTTTTTGTATTATTTTATTGACTTATTGACAACTTGATCGGCTTTACTGAGCTAAAATGATACTACTTGACCTCTTGGGCCACTGGTTGGTAGTGTGACCGAGTAGTGTCCACTAACAGAAGACTATGTTATATACACAAGCTGATTACAGAATACAGAACAACTGTTCATCAATATATATATATATATTCCTTTACGTTCCCTGTGGAACATAGGGCTTCAGGCTGGAGCTTTAAAGTTTCAGTAACAGTGATGTTTATTTTTATGGGATTGGGTTCCTAGCCTCATGCTCAAACTTTCCTCTTCACCAGTCATATACCTGGCTTAGCGAAGTAAAGGAGTGCCTCGTCGGCCGGGGATCGAACCCCGGACCACCTGCGTGGTTGGTGATCATTCTACAGCTGTGCAACCGACGCACGTTCATCAATATATATATATTCTATTTTAGAAGTTATGTAATTTAAGTACACATAGTTTAACAGCCTGGAGCTTGTTTGTATGGAATTGATTTGTTTGAAGTTTGATCACGGACTTATATCAGTTAGAGAACTACTAGAAACCCAGGAACTACTAGATAGGTGTTTCGTCCTGGTTTCAGACTCATCCACAGTACCCAGCCACCAGGGTTCGAACCCGGGACCTTCCAGTTACAAGTTAAGTTCGTAGACCATTCACTCACTGGGACTCGACTCAATAGTCTATGAGTTTTGGCTTCTACTAATTCATGATTTTAGGTTGACTGGCAGCAGCCAATGTCATCGAGGAGTACTTGTCCTTACTCCCAACCTGGTGGGTCCTACTGGTCACGACTTCTCACTAGAACTGACTCCAGGCAACTTCGTCTTGCAGCCAGTCACTAGTCAGCATGAAATTGAATTTCAAGAGTTTCTTTTTGTAGGGATTTGATCTTATTTCAAGTTTGACCATGGATCGATATCAGTTGCTCTGATGTGATGTTCTCATGACTTTATGTTGCCAGATCAGGTAAGGGCTATGGGAGAGAGTACGCGATAGTATGGTAGTTATGTATAAAGTTCGCGGAGGATTTTATACTGTGCGTAAGCTCCCCGCCCTGATAATGTTCCGCTTTTGTGCGTTGGCAGAATGTTTATTGGCCATGCACAAGGTTCGAGTTCGATTTCCGGTTGAAGTACTCCAAAACCTCGCCTAGTTTACTAGCTAGAAATAAGCCCGGATAAAAGCAAAGGTTGGATATGTTAGGCTAGCAACACCATCCTGTAATTAAGCAAATCCATGGCTACAGGACCTTTGAAGCTTGAAGTCCTATACCTCCACTCGACAAGCAAAAGAAGGAGAAAAATATAGCAGACAACTAATGAATGTAAGGCGGTAATTCCTTTGTTCGCTGTGACTACAGACAACATTTGCTTCTCTTTTTTGTTTGCTGTGTTAGATAATCACGTAATTGTCAAAAAAACAACAGAATTTTATCTTATGGAGTGTTCTGTATTAAGAATTTGCATTCATTTCTATCTTTTTCGTTTTGTAAATATTCCATTTTAAACTCATTATAATGGCGTGTACTACTGATGAATCATATGACGCTGTTGTGATCCCTTATCAACGCGCGAGAACTGTGACTGACGCAGTATTTCAACACATCGTCGTACACTACGGTGTACCAAAGACGATATTAATGGATCGGGGCCTTTGTTTTGAAAGTGAGGAGTTCACTTCCGGTTTGTAACAGCCGGGGGATTACTAAGATCCGAACAACATCATGTCATTTAAAAATGAATGATCTGCCAGAGAGAAATAACCGTACACTGAGGGAGTGGCTGGCCTCGAAGGGAGGTAACTAGGAGACAGAGATTACATTGATTCTACTAGCACATTTTCCGTCCATCCAGAAAACAAAAAAGAACTCACCATTTCAATTGATGTGCTGGAGGAAACCATAACTACCAATACACAGCACAACCTGGCGCCTCCACCAGGAATGGAATATGACGAGGCTGCAAACGGAACGGAAAGTCGTCAAAAAGGTAAACCGTAGACATAAGAAAGACTCTGTGAAATCAGAACAGGGAGAAAAGATAGGATGCAGAACCTTTGAGGTCGGCGATCAAGTAAAGTGTAGAGGAAGGAAAAATGGGGTTAGATGAGGGCCAGGTCCACGGCCCATGGCCATATACTGTCATCAAGAGATGTGGTCCGGTTTATTCCATCAAAAGAGGAAATAAGCAGAAAGGAGTTGACATCAGCCAACTGCAGAAATGGATTCAGTGGGATGGGGAAACCAGGGAAGAAGAAACAAGAGAAAGGAGTAAAACTAAGAAGGCCGGAGCGGCTGATATTGTATCTGGTATCTAGAAGATAATGTATAATTCATCTTTTGACCCTAATTAAAATCGCTTAAAATTGATTTTTTGGAGTTTGTTCAATACAGAGTTCAAAGGTGTATTTTTCTCTCTATGTAATGGCACATTCAAGCATAATGGGGTTATCAGTGAACTAAAATTTGGTTTTTGGATAGCTTAGCAAGGCGCTGCATACCACCAGCTCATCTAAGATATACTAACTTTTATATGTATGTGCAAATTGGTGAGTATAGTTAGAAGTGACATTTAATGTCTGTATACATATATTTCTTCTTTGGCGCCATGATTGGTGATACGTTGGTGGTGGTTACGCGGTAGATTGCCCACCAACCTGACACGTGGTTTGGATGTGGGTAGGTGACTCGATAAAGAAGAAAGGATGGGTGTATGAGACTAGCAACCCCGCCCCAATTGTAAAGGTCTCCTCACCCTCCTACTTCCTGCAGAAATCTAACTGTTATGCAACAAATGTAGTCTATTCTTCCTATTTTTGGGCTTCTGACGTTGACATGGTGGCGGAGATGAAAGCCTATGGGCGATCGTGGAGCCAGCCAGCTAAACATGACTGTGGAAAAGAGGATGAAATGGAGACGTGCTGTTGAACCACTCGAAACCTCAGGGAATTATAATATGTAACAATAATTCTACTTATTTTATCGAGTTATTCGTTCTTATTTAGTTCAAACTTTGAAATAATAATAATATCAACATACGAAATTTTAGCTGGGTAACCAGTTAACTCGTGGTATTTCTGCCGGTGAACGTAAACGTACATGTATTGGTATTGAATTAGTGAATGATCCTTTGGTTTTATACTTGGATGAACCTACTACTGGTCTGGATGCATATACAGCTGGAACGGTAATTCAAACACTTAGACGGTAATTGAATAACATTCTTTTCTAACCCCCATATATTTAACTATATATGATGTTTTAATTCCTGTGAGCGTAATGAATTGTGTAGTATACATTTCTTATCATCTGGAAAAGTGCCACCTGTTTTGATGTTTCGTCTTACTTCTGACCCGTCAGCTAAATGTAACTGGCTAGTTTCAACTTTGCACAGAAGTCCAACAGTTCAACTTGCCACACTACCTCCATTTAGAACATAAATGAAGATAAAATAGAGAAAAAAAGGAGATAACGATTTTGAACCAGTATCACCAATAGTCTACAGCTACGCTGATTCTTTGGATATCCAGGACTCCAAGTGAAGGCACCAACACCCCCTTACGTGGATAGCTTAAACTAGTTGTCTGTCAAGGTGTTCTCATGGAGGGATTCCATGTTTTTGGCTTGACCACCATTGATCATTTTCCAACTTGATCTTACGTCAGCTAACTTTGGTTATCAAGGAATACGATGGCTAGAGATGCATGCGTAACACATGTCCTAACCATCTCAATCGATGTATCTTCACAACCTCGTCGGTTGACTTTGCCTCCTTACGTAACATTCGACCTATGCCTAACCTCAATATCACCCACCCTATCATACCGCTTAACACGAGAGACAGAACGCAGACGCCTGTGATGAAGGACAGCTAGCCAGGCTTTTCATATCTCCCACTTTCCATAGCGTTGTCTCATAGCCATAAAGGGGGACAGAGCGAAGTGTGCTGCTGAGCAGTACACACGTGTGTTACATGGAGAGTGTGGAGTTGAGTTGAGTTACTGCACTTCAATGCAAAGTTCTATGCTGAAACGTTGTCAGTCATAGGCAAAACTGTTCTAAAGTAAGCAGAATTCAGTAAACTGTTGATGATTTCTACTCGACATCAATGGAAAAATCACCGAATGATCTTTCTAACAAGCTACACATAGATTAGCGTCTACTTTAAAGTGAATTCTGATCATTTAATCTTTTTGTGGATGATATAACACTTTCAATTTTAAAAATCTGATCACGATCAACTTTCTAAGAGTTTTAAATTAGATCAGCTCTATGTGTGTATATAATATTTTCCATATATGAAACCTGATGACTGATTCATAACTAGATTGGTTGTGTCATGAATGCTTCTAAGCCATTTGATGAATCTCTATAGTGATTTTGAATTTTTAATCTCTACATTATAACAGCAGAACAGTCTTAGTGTGGTATGAAGCAAGAATATCCTTTTCAGATTTCGTCACGAGCTTACATCAGTTAGAGAGAAAGCCAGCGGACAATACTGGGCAGCTGTTTCGTCCCAGTTTGGGACTCTTCATTAGTGTGCACTTACCGCCGGGGTTTGAACCCTGGGAAGTTCTGGTTACAAGACAAGCTAGTAGACCATTCAGCCCTTGATTTCCCAACAGTTCTTTAATCGATTTCAGCTCGTGATCAAACTTGGAACAGATGAAATCCCCAAAAACTAAGCCTTGAAGGTTAGTGTTACGTTCGCTGGTGAACTAACTACATGACGAAGTTGCCTGGAGTGAGTGGGGTTCATCTATCCTGTTGGGAGTGAGTGAGGACAAATAATCGCCACAGATGACATTGGGAAGTGGTCACGCTGAAATCACGAGTATGTAGGGGAGTTGGGATCCATGTGTCATTAAATCGAACCTCAGTCTCTGAATGGTCTACGAGCTTTCCTTGTAACTGGAGGGTCCTGGGTTCCGACTCCGGTGGTTTTGTACCACGGATGAGTCCTGAACTAAGAGGAAACAGCTGTCTAGTACTCCTCGATGGTTTCCAATGGTATTCTCACTGATACCAGGTCATGATCAGATTTCAAACAGATCAAATCCCTTCAAACTAATTCTTTCTAATATTCGTTTTCAATAAATAGCCTTTATATTTTTTTGAAGTTATAAAGTAAAATATTTGTCATCATTGCACTGTAATAAAACATCCAAACTACCCCCTTAGTTCGGGGGGGTTCAGAGTATAACCTTTACCTAGTTAGCGATTAAGCCTTTCCTGCTATTGTCTAAGTTAATTTTCACTTCCCGTTGATTGAGACTATGTTGGAGCGAATTGCTGGGTGCATAGTTCGAGTCTCAATAGGATGCAAGTACACTCAGTTGAAGAGTCTCAAATAGGACGAAATGCACACTCTCGATTCTGGCACTAGTTACCACCATTAGCTAAAATAAGCCTTTCCCTAGTTCAAAAAATGTTGTTCCAAATTTTTTCTTATTTATTTTCTTCATATTTATCAGATTAGCAGATTCTGGTCGGACTGTTGTTTTTTCAATCCACCAACCGAAATATTCTATTTATCGTCTATTTGATCGGCTTACAATACTGTCTGGTGGACAAATGATCTATCATGGACCAGCTGATAAATCACCGATTGTTTATTTTGAAAGCTGTGGTAAGTTTTCTTATTAAATTAAAGTCTCTCATAAAATGTAACGATTGTTTATATCGTATTTGCCATTTATTTATTATTACTCCATTGGGTACCCGCAGGGGTCACGCTCAGACACACGCCCAACTCATCGTTTCTGATTCACCTTCCACTCGAATAATTGCCTGGTGCGAGATGTCACCCAACGGTGTCCTCAGCGTGTGTCCCATCCATCACTACTTTTTGTTTTGCGATATCTGTTGAGTAGTAGATTCTTGAATGGTTCGTTCCCAGGGTTCATTTCTGCTGATTCTTCCTGACCAACTATCTCATTTTTCGTATGAAGCCAGCAAAGTAGACAGCAGCTGATGAAAATCTTCAGTGGCCTGTTAGAAATACTTTTCGTGACGCTAGCTCCAAGTTTCTGACCCATATAGAAGAACTGGCTAACCGACTTAATATTGGTGTTGAAAATCCGAATTTCGTTGTGTATGCTGAAGATTTCCAAACTGATTTCAGAGTGGTGAAGGTCTGTCCTGCCTTTCTGATTGTATTTTTGGCATTCTTATCCATGCTGTCATCTGCGGCTGAGACGTCGCTGCCTAGATAAGTGAAGGAAGTGACCTCTTTCGAATTTCTTCCGTTGATAGTGGCTGGTGTCTGTTGTTTTTGTTATTGGTTGGTTGGTTGTTTATCTTTATCAACTCCGTCTTCTTTGTATTTACTCGAAGTCCTTCCTGGCTTGTCTGCCCACCTCTTCTGCCAGTTTGTTGTTTTTTGCCTGTAAGTCTTCGAGTTTATGTGATATTAGACATAAATCATCGGCGAAATCACCAGGTCTTCTAGAATCTTCTTATTGGTCCAACGTATTTATGTGTTCTCGCTCCTCACGGTTTGACGCATAATCTAGTACACCACAATTATAATACGGATTTAATATAGTTTGAACACCAGGAAATGCGCTATACCGTAGTTTAACAACTCAACAGGGATTACAAGGTCGGGGGAGGGGTTAGAAATGTAACTGAGTAATTTTTTCTTTTTCATTCCTTTACGTTCCTGGTGGAACATGGGGCTCCAAGCTTTGAAGTTTCAGTAACTGTGTAGTTGTTTTTTTTACGGAATGGAGTTGCTAGCCTCACGTCCAACCTTTTCAATGTACTCGGACTTACTACCATCTAGTAGGCTAGGCGAGATTTTGAAGTGTGTCGACTGAGAATAGAATTCGAACTAGGAGCGTGGGAGATGATTAAGAGAGCTTCATATAGTTTTGGAGGTATGTTGGCGGTTGTTACTTTCCGTCCACCTATACCGTGGAAGTCGATTTCTCCTCGGAGTACTTGAAACGAAGAGAATTAATATTGCTCGACCGGTGACCACTACTCAGCCAGTTTGAATTAGTTACTCGAGTCGTTTCCATATTAGAAACTTATTGCAGACTACAAACCTCCGTAGAGTATGTCGCGATGTACAGTTTTCGAGGCTTATCTTTTCTAACCCGCTATCTCCTGAGTAGAGAAGCAGCATAGCTGCTGACTTGGTGATTATCTGAGGGAAGCACCTCATTGTTGTTACATCCCTGTTCCTCCGAGCAGTACGACTCTGCCCACAGGCTCCCATCACAGTGTGAATATCTTACATTATTACGGTAACTGCTCTTAGTGTAATCGCTATCCTAACAACCTCTCTGGCATTGTAAGTACTAGAGGAACAGTAGTTCCAGCTAGTGTAGCACGCTGGGTCATTGTGATAATAATAATGGCTTTATTCTGAGCAATGTTTATACAATGTACAGAATTTTCAGAGAACTTTATTGCACGACATTTTCCCTGCGTTCAGGATCTTCAAATGAATGATTAATTGGCAGTAGATCGTGTAACATAGTTCTATCTGACTCTTTTCTTTTTCTCCTTCGAGAAATACGCGACATTTATTTGAGTGGCAATTATAAAAAGTCCAGGAGTACGTTTTGTGAACCGAGGACACCACTCAGGAATGGTCATCTCATGTATTGGAATAAGCTGTCATCAAGGATAATTCTTTTTAACATGTTTTAAGTAGAAACTTGCTAATCGGAAGGTTGTGAATGTTTTAAATACTTGCCAGAGTAAACAGTATTGTTAATTAAGGGTCATATTTTACTAGATCTAAACAAAGCGAATAAGATGAATTATATGCAATATATATTAGTGGATGTTTTTCGGTAGCCCAGGTTTTGAGCAGGCTGCCCAACTACCAAGGTGAGCAATATTGAGGTTAGGCGTCGAGTGCTAGGTAAGGAGGGGAAATCAGTCGACGAGACTGTGAAATTACATCGACTGAGATGGTTAGGACATGTGTTACGTATGCCTAGTCATCGCCTTCCTCGACAACAGGCAATGTTAGCTGATATAGGGTCAGGCTGGAAAAGAGCCAAAGGCAGTCAAACCAAAACATGGCACCAGTCAATGAAATCTACAAGTTAGTCTAGGCCACGTAGGTAGGTGTAGACTTCGTGGTTGGGGTCCTCGGGACGGTAAAAACCAATGGTTGGAAACAATTGGTGACATGGCTCAAAGTCGTTCTCAGTGGCGCAGATGCATCCATTCCTTGTGACCTTATGATTTCCAATGAAACTATGTTGTTCTTCGTTATTGCTATTCCTTTGTCTCACACCTCTGTTTATTGTCTCTAATATGCATTTCTCCTACTTTCTTCTCTTGCTTTGTGTGCTACAAGAAGTGTGGCGACTTGAACTGGCGCACATATGTGCAAAGTTCTATGTCGAAAACCTACCGACCGACCGACCATGTCAAGGTAATAGCAATCGATCAGGGTGCGTGATCAGTGAGCATTCTACCACTGATGAAACACAGATGCGCGACTAAATGATCGGAGAAATAGTTTTGTAAGGTATATTTAATGAAGTATTTATTGAATGTATTACTTTTCAAAAAAGCTACTGCATGGTCTCAGATAAGCATTTGATACAAACTCCATTCGCCCTCTTTCTATGATCTTTTGAACTGCACTCAATTTGTATTAAGCATCAAACTAACCTAACACGACTTTCCTTTATCTGGTGCAATCTTTCGACATAAATAGCAATAGATGGTATGAAATTAGCTATGATTACGAATACTGCGGAACTTGTTGAATAACGAATAGAACCAGTTTCTATTGCAGCTCACATTTAATTGTCTGCCTGATGTTGCTATTATTTTATGATTATCCTTTGGTAACAGCATTAATGAAACATTAACCTAGTGAACGCCTTTTTCAACGGGGAATGTTGGCTGACATAGGATCAAGTTGGAAAAGAGCTAGTGGTTGTCAAACCAAAACTTAGAATCAGTTCATGAAATCTTCGACAGTTGGTTTGAATCAGCTAAGTAAAAAGGTGTAGGCTTTCTATTTGGGGTCGTTGAGATTATAAGAATCAATGACTGGAGACAATTGATGATATGGCTCGAAATCGTTCTTAATGATGTAAATGAATTCATTCTCTGTGATTGTCTGTATATCCACTAAACTGTCATGTTTTTCTATTTTGCTTTTCTTTCTCCCTCAATTTTCTGCCTATTCTCGTTCTTTTCGATCTTTTTGCCTTTATGCGCAAAGTTCTATTTTGAAACCACTCAGTCAGTCAGGTAGGGTTGAAGTCTGTTGAATAGGACTGTCTGCACCTAACCATCAGTTGCTCTGGTTATTCGTGCATTTGCAAATTGTACAGCTCGTCATCCTTCAAACAGGCTGTATTCTCAGCGTAGACCTTTATACAAAAGTACAGCAGTCCAAGCTTCTATAGTTCATTAAAGCATAGGAATGAAGGTCGCGGAGAAAAGAAATGCAATAAATGGAAATTTAAGGGAGAAAGATTAATTACATGGATAACAATGAGAATTTAACACATGCAGGATCTACAGTTATTTATATATAAAAGTGAGAGAATTATTGATGGCCAGAAAAGATCAGCAGTAGGGATCTCTGGGAGCAAACCAACCAGGAACCGATTGTGAAACAAGTAAGCAGGAAGAAATGGAGATAGATTGGCTGGCCATACTCTGAGGAAACTATCAAGTGACATCACTAGACAAGCCAGTGCTCGAGTGGAACCCGAAAGGAAAGCGGCGAGTTGGTCGTCAGTGCAAGGGTGACTTGGAGGAGGACATGTGAAGAGGAGATGAAAACGTGTGGACAGACTTGGAGCCAGGTGAAGACTCTAGCAGAGAACCAAACGCAATGGAGACGTGTGGCTGAAGCCCTATGTTCCTCTAGGAATTAAATGAAACAATAATAATAAATAATAATATATAAATATATATACCTTTTCTATGGTTCACGGGAAGTCATTCATTTGCTGCCTCTTCTATCCGTTTGTTTATTTTTATGTGTATATATTTCTGTTATTTAGGTTATTTAATCGAAGGTCATAATAATCCAGCTGATTTCTTCATGGATATTTTACACGGTGAGGTGGAGACTACAGACACAGTTATACAACAAGCAAATATCTCAGGTAAAATGTTATATTTTGTAATGAAACTGTAGACTGTTTAATTTATTATTTTTGAAAAAATGGAATTGCCGCCCACTAGTGTTTATCCAGTTGACTTTAAGAAGGCATCTCACAGGTTCGAAACTCACTTATCATTATCATTGTTCCTTTGGGTTCCTAGTGGAACATAGGGCTTCAACTACACGTCTCCACTTGCTTCTGTCTTCTGCTGTACTTTTCACCTGCATCCATGTTAATCCATACTGTTTCAACTCCTCTTCACACGATCTCCTCCATGTCACCCTTGCACCGACGAACCACTCGCCGCTTCCCTTTCGGGTTCCATTCGAGCGTTGGCCTGACGCGCAATGTCACCCAACGGCCTCCTCAGCGAGTGTCCAATCCATCTCCACTTTCTCCTGCATATTTGTTGAGCGATTGGTTCTTGCTTTGTTTGTTCGCATAGTTTCTTGTTGGTTCTTGTTCTTTCCGGCCATCTGATCTTCAGTATAGAACGAAGAGAGTTGTTGATAAAGGTCTGCAGCCTGTTGAAAATATTCTTTGTGACCCGCCAGGTTTCTGATCCGTATAGAAGAACTGACTGACTTGACGTTTGTATTGAAAATCCGAATCATTTTGTTGTTGATGCTGAGTGACGAAGATTTCCAGATTGGTTTCAGGTTGATGAATGTGTTTCTTGCCTTTCCGATTCTCTATTTGACATCGTCGTCCGTTCCTCCTGTAGTTGAGACAATCCTCCCTAGATAAGTGAATGAAGTAACCTCTTTCAAATCCCTCCCGTTGATGGTGATTGGCGCTGGATGTTGCTGTTATTGTTGTTGTTGGTTGGTTGGTTATTTTCATAACTTCCGTCTTATCTATGTTCACCTGGAGTCCTGTCTTTGCTGCTTCTTCGACCAGTTTGTCGGTTTTCACTTGTAAATCTTCGATTTTGTGTGACCTCAAACATAAATCATCCACGCGCGAAATCCAGGTCTTCTGGGTTCTTCATGTCGGTCCAGGATATCTTTGTCTCACTCACTTTTTACAACTGCTTAAACAGTGTCATGTAATATGTATGCGTCGTAATGCACGGGTCTGTGCATATATTTAATTTATACGTTGTTATTATATTGCAAGTATTTTCATAGCAATATGATACCATTTATAGTTTAACAATTCTGATATAAATTTATGATATTATTATACAAGTTTGACGGCGGATTGATATCAGTTAGAGAACCATTGAAAACCAGCTAGGAGTACTGGACAGCTGTTTCATCCTAGTTTGAGAATCATCGGCAGTACGCACCCACCACCAGGGTTCGAACCAAGGACCTTCCGGTTACAAGGCAAGCTGGCTCATATGCCATTCAGCTAATGGGACCCGATTCAATGGCCAACCCATGAATTTTGACTTCTACCACTTCGTGATTTTTGCGCAACCAACAACCAGTGTCGTTGGCGGGAAATCCATCCTCACTCCCAACTGGATGGACCTCAATGGTCACGAATTCTCACTAGGACTCCAGGAAACTCCGTCCTGTAGCAAGTCATTAGCGAATATCAGATTAGTTTGTCACCGGAAGGTCCTGTGTTTGAATCCTGGTGTTGGGTATGTACTGCCGATGATTCCCAAATTAGAATGAAACAGCTGTCCAGTACTCCAATACTGGTTTTCATTCGTTATCTACCTGATGCCAATCTGTGGTCAAACTCGTAAAAACAAATCTAATCCTTACAAATCAACTCTTGAAGGATACTATTATAATGACTATTATTCCCTTGGGTTCCGAGTGGTACATCGGGCTTCAACAGAACATCTCCACTTTATTCTGTTCTCTGTAGAGTCTTTTTCAGCTGTCTCCAAGATTACCCATAAACTTTCATCTCCTCCTCCTCACACGATCTCCTCCATGATACCTAACTCTTCCTTTCCCATCCACCTTCCACTCGAACGATGGCTTGCATTGCATGCGTTGTCATCCGATGGTGTCTTCAGCGTGTGTCCAAGTCATCTTCGGTTTCTTCGTCATATTTGTTGAGGGATAAATTCTTGATTGGTTCGTTCTCAGAGTTTCTTGTGGGTAATTCTTTCTCGACAGCCATCCGATCTTGATTATGGAGCTGGTTGAAGGCAGCTGTTGATGAAAGTGTGCATATTGTCTGCTGGAAATGCTTTCGTGACGCTGGTGCCAAGTTTCTTACTCATATAGAAGAACTGACTGACTTAACATTGGTGTTGAACAGAATCCGAATTTTATTGTTTACTCTGAGTGAGGAAAATTTCCAAACTGATTTCACAATAGTGAAGTCGTGTCTTGCCTATCTGATTCTGGTTTCGACATCCTAATCCGTGCCCCGAGTGCCTGCAGTTGAAGCGGTAGTGTCTAGATAAGCGGCGGAAGTTGCCACTCCTTGAAATTTCTTACTTTGATAGTGGTTCATGCTTGTTGTTGGTTAATTGGCTGGTTATCTTTATCACCTGTTCACCTGAAGTCCTGTTTTCGTTGTCTTTCCCTGCATCCAACTTGTAGGTCATCGCCCTTAAGTCTTTGAATTCATGTGACATTAGACATAAATCGTCCACGAAGTTAAGATCTTCTAGGGTCTTCTTATTGGTCCAACGTATTCCTGTCTTCTTTCATCCTACACACAGTCTTCCGCATAATCTGGCCCACCACAACTAGGCATGTCATCGGTGATCGTAAAGAGTTTCGCTGAGTTTTCCCACTGTGGATCAGTTCATATATGGCATTATCATATAGCTGTTGAGTAGTGAGGTTGTTTAAGATTTGATGCACTCCATAATGTTGAAGTAGTTTCCAAATTACTTCACGATCAATGTTGTTGAAGGCTTTTTCAAAGTCGATGAAGTTGAAATAGAGATTTGATTACCATTCTAGAAAGTATGACGGCTTTTAAATACTGAGTTTTATTGTTTCAAAAAGCTTCGGTGAAAAGTTCATTTCAATTCATGCCGCGTATGCATTACTTTAAATTCATTTTTCCATAATATCAATATTATTTATTTATAATTGTTTTAGATACCAGCCAAAGTGGTACTAATTGTAAAACTCTACGTGAAACAGTCCGGTGTCGACTAATTTCATTATGGTTAGAATCTGCATTATGGCAACAGTAAGTAAAGTATATATGTTATATAAATACGTATTATTATTATTATTATTCCCTTGGGTTATGACTGGAACATAGGTCTTCAACAACACATCTCCAATGTCTTCTATTTTCTGCTCTCCTCTTCAACTGGGTTCACAATTGCCCATAATCTCTCATCTCCTCCGACTCCTCGCCACACGATCTTCTCCATGTCACCCTCACACCTATGACCCACTCGTCGCTTCCCACCAGCGTTCCACTCGAGCGATGGCCTTCATTGAGCGCTATGTCATTCTACGACATCCTCAAAGTATCCCTGATCCATCTACATTTTCTTCTGCATATTTGTTGAGCAATCGGTTCTTGCTTGTTGGTTTCTGTCTGTCTGGATTGATTAGAGAGGTTTCGCGTGCACTTCGGATTGTGAGGGCGATTGTTACTTCCCGGCTGCCCACACCGTGGAAGTTGGTTGCGTGACCGCAGAGCCCAGGGGACAACTACTTGAGGCCGGTCACACACGGCCTGTTTTTGTTTGTTCTTTTTCATTTGGTGTGTCTCAGTAGCGTATTTATCACTTCTGCCCTGTGACACGGCAGCAGGAAGCTCTGTCGTTGTTAATCCGGGCCCCGACCGATCCGGCATGATATTTTGTGATTTACTTTGAGTCATAGCATTGGGTTGGGTAGCTGCTTTTTGTCTAACCGCAATCCAAACAACCTTTCTGGCATGGTAAGACCTCAAGCGACATAAGTCTCAACCAGTATAGCTTCTTGGGTCATTGTGGCGTTCAAGCCCGACCACCACGTCAAGGTTGCAGCTTTCGGTCGGGGCTTGTTGGTTTGTTCCCATCCAGAGTTTCTTGTTGCTAATTCTTTCTAGCCAGCCAGCCAGCCGACTGCCCGGCCATTTGATCTTCAGTATGCAGCCAATCAGCGAAGGTCCCTATCTTGTTGGAAATCCTTTTCGTACAGAAGCACTAACTGACTAACTTAACATTTGTGTTGAAAATCCGAATCTTGTTCTGTGTGCTGAGGCGGAGTTCAGAGGATTTCCAAACTATGATGGAGGCGCCTATCTTGTCTTTCCGATTCTGGCTGGCTGGCTGGCTGCTTGGCTTGCATTGACATCTTCAATCTTTTGTATATTTGTAACTCAGAATGAGTTCAACTGTTTTAATAAATACTGTGGTAAAAATCTAACTAAGTAAATTCAGTTGAAAGTGGTGTGAGGTATGCGCGTAATTTTACTTTACCGTCCTGTGTAATAATAATAATAGCGTACACAATATCAATACCACACTCTCTGCCTTTTTCTCTCATCATTATTCTTGATAATAATATTTTTTTCAAAAATAATAGTAATTAGTATGTATTAGTTAGTTAGTTAGTAATGATCACTTAGAACTCTGAGATAGAGAGAGTGAGAAGTATCAAGCTGGATTTATAAATCACGTGTTAGCTCCACTTCACTTCATTATAAGATAAGTAAAATGTTTGTATAATGTGAATATATATATATATATATATATATATATATATATATATATATGTGACTTCTCTATTTCTCTACAGTTATGCGCTTTTAACCATTATTGATCGCTAACTTTATATATGCTGCATATATACTCAATAAAACACAAAAATATCACGTGTAGCGCGCTCCATTCATTCATCAGTCGTAATAATTTAAAAGAACAAATACACAACACAAAATATTTGTGATTTTTGAGCTTATTTCATCTTTTGTATAATTTATTATCGTGCGTGGTGATAATATCTGTCTGTGACTTATCCTATCTGTGCTACCACCAGTCTACGACGATTCACTCACAGTTCTATCTGTCTGATTGTATTTTTGACTATCTTCGGCGGCCTGCTTAAAAGTTGGGCCACTAAAAAACT